GCGTTTTTTCAGACAGGATGGGCGGGAGAAGGCAGCTGACTATCAGTATATCTGGAGCACTACTGCCATCGTGAGGCTATAGTTTCAAAGCGCTCTACATTTGCTTCATTCCCATGAGGACTTTCAGTTTTAAAAGGTTCTTTCAGCCTAGAGGCCAAGCAAGATCTGGTCCCAAACTGGGCCTCCTTGACTCCTTTAAGTTATTCCAAAAGCTCTGGGCAAGCATTTTTTATAGTTACAGTGCAAAAAGACTGGAAATAAATGGAACTTTAAAAACTATACATATAAGTGAAAAGTAAACAACATGCTCTCAAACAATCAATAAGCCAACAAAGAAATTAAGAAGAACATTTTTTAATTTGTTGAGACAATTGATAATGGAAATGCAACACACAATATACAACAGCTATGGGATAAAGTAAAAGCAGTACTAAGAAGTTTACAGGAATTAACTCGTGTTGAAAAAGTAGAAAGATCTCAAATCAACAACCTTGCATTTCAAGGAACTAGAAAAATAAGTACCAATCAAACCCCAAATACGTAGTGGGATAGAAATAGTAAAGATCAAAGGAGAGATAAATAAAATGGACAATAAAAAACAATACAAAATATCAAAGAAATAAAATGTTGACTGTTTTAAAGATAAAATCTTTAGCTAGATTAACTAAGAAAGAAAAAATAAAAGACTCAAATAAGAAAGAGAGACATTATAACTGACAGGACAGAAATAAGCACCCTAGAGACTATTATGAATAACTATATGCCAACAATTTGGAAATCCCAGAAAAAAGCTAATAAATTCCTGAACACATTCAATTTTCCAAGATTGAATCAGGAAGAAGTAAAAAATGTGAACATACTAAAAATGAGTAATAAGATTGAATCAGTAATAAAAAGTACCCAGACAAAGAAAAGTCCAGGAAGAGACTAATTCACTGCTGAATTCCACTGTTTAAGGAACTAATATCAATTCTTCTCATATTATTACAAAAAACTCAAAAGAGAAGAAATTTTCCCAAATTCATTCTACAAAGTCAGTCAAGAAAAATAAATAAAAGGCATCTAAATTTCAAAGCAAGATGTCAAATTTTCCCAGTTTGCAGATGATATAATCCCATATATATATATATATAGGAAACCCCAAAGACTTCACCAAAACTATTACTAGAAGTAATAATTAATTTATGGGACCAGCAGTTGACCTAATGGCTATGTCGCTGGACTCCCAACGTAGCCTAAACGGTTCGAGTCCTGGACCCAGTGGCTTAAACTCACTTCGGGCGCATATGTGTGCGTGCCAAGGATCTAGAGAGGAGAATGAAGGAGAAAGGATTGAGTGAGGCATGGCCATTCCCCCTTTCTGTCTTTTTTCGCTTTCTGTCTCTCTCTCTCTTTCTGGGGAGCGCATGTGCCCTATAGCAAAAACCTCTCCAAAAACTGAAAAAAAAAAAAAAATGAATTCAGTAAAGTTGCAGGATACAAGTCAAGATACAAAAATAAGTAGTGTTTCTACAGGGAAACATCAACTTTTCACTGTAAAACAAAATTTAAGTACTTTTTTTAATTTTGTTTTTTTGTTTTTCCATAGAGCATGTGTGCTTGCCAGAGTGAGAAAGAGACAGTGAAAGGGAAAGTAAGAAATCACCTTCCAAGAGGGATGACCACACGACAGTTCCCTTTTCTCCATTCTCCTCCTGGGATTTTGGGCAAGTACTCAAACACACCCCGTGTGATTTTCAAGCTGAGTCCAGAGCCTTAAACACCATACCACCTGCTGGCCCCAAAGTACAAGTTTATTTTGGTGCAAAACATTTTTTAATCCATACAAGGTTTTTTCATAATACCTATTTCCATAAATTTTTTAAATCCCCTCATATATGCCAATAATGAATTATCTGAAAAGGAAATGAAGAAATCAAGAAAGCAATTCCATTCACAGCAGCTACAAAAAAAAAAAAAAAAAAAAAAAGAATTTAACCAAAGACATTAAAGATCTCCTCAATCAAAAATACAAAAAGAAATTGAAATAACTCAGAGAAGCCCGAGAGTCCCAGTTTGGGCCAGGGCATCTTCAGTACCTACAGTGAACTGACCTTTCTGAACTGGAAGTCCTAAGGGTAATGAACCGATATAGTGTAGGGTGTGCTTAAACTATTTCCTCATGATGGCAGTAGCGATTCACTTATGCTGACAATCCAGCTCCCTAGGCCCTCTTCTCCCGCCCTTCCTATCTAAAAAAAATGCCACCAAGAAACAAAGCCACCAGGAAACATGGGGGCCTTTCATTTTTCCCAGTTTGGAGAAACCAGATCATGCTGTGGCACTTTTGCTTTAGGTTCTCATGTGAAATCAAACTGAGGCTGAAACCATCATCCTTATCAGGCTTATTTTATTTTATTCTTTTTTTTTTTTTCTATAGAGGATGTGTGCACCCGAGAGAGAAAGATAGAGAGAAGGAGAGAAAATTGCCCCCCAAGAGGGGCTGGCCATGCTGCATTTTTCTTCTCTATTCTCCTCTCTGGTTTTTGAGCATCCACTCACATGCATCTAGTGTGATTTTCAAGTCACCATCTGGGACTCAAACCAGGGAGTTCACTATGTGTAATTCAGTTGCCTTAACCTCCATGCCACTGCTGGCCCCAGGCATATTTTCTCAAATGACCAAGTTGTCAGATTTGGGGGCAAGCCTCAAAATTTATGCCTTAGGAAAAAAAGAAATGCTGGAAACTCAAGGCCAGGAGAACCATCTCTGTCCTTGCCTGGCTCATTTCTAAGGCTCCTAAGCAATTCTCCTTCTCCTACAGCATATATGTTGAATTATTGGCAGCCATTTGACTGGAGCCATAAGAGGAACACTCAATAGCTTTCATCACTATATGCTATACAGTAACTTACATGGCAAGATACATGTGAGGTCTTCAAAAACATCATGGAAAATACACATTATGAAGTACCTATGGATTTCAAAAAAATTTTTGAGCCAAAATAATCAAATAATCATTCTTATTTCTTTAAGCGTGCTATAAAAGCATATCCTTTATGGGGGGTGGGGGGTGGGTTTGAAGCATGCCCCAAAGAGAATGGCCACACCACAATCGCTTTTCTTCCATTTTCCTCGAGATTCGGGGCATGCATACACAACATACCTGGTTTTTTTTTTTCACAGATGTCAGTTCAGGACTTGAACTGGCCAATTGGCCATGTAGGATTTAGCTAAGTACCATGCTACTGGTTTGCCTCATATTCATTTTTTTATATAAAATTATTTAACTTCATTCATTATTATTATTTGACCACAGAGACAGAGAAAGAAAGAGGAACAGTGAGAAAGCAAGCCACCAGGACTGGGACTCAAACCACAGTGGGCCAATGTGGAAGTCCAGTGCCTCAACCACCACATCACATATTGGCCCCCATACTCATTCTTTAATTCCATTTTTTCCACAAACTTTTTTTTTTTTTGGAGAGGTTTTTGCTATAGGGCGCATGTGCTAGCCAGAAAGACGGAGAGAGACAGAGAGACAGAAAGTGATAAATCACCCCCAGGGGGATGGCCACGCCGCAATCTTTTCTCCATTCTCCTCTTGGGATCTTGGGCACGCACACACACGCACCTGACGTGAATTTAAGCCACCAGGTCCTGGACTCGAACCACGGTCGACTACATGGGAGTCCAGCGACATAGCCATTATGCTAACTGCTGGTCCCTCCACAAACTTTTTGAAGTATCCATAGATACAAACATGTTTTATCTATCTATATCTCTATATATATGTATGTATATAATTTTTAAGTTTTTACCATAGGGCATGTGCACTCACCAAAGACAGTGAGAGGGAAAGTGAAAAATTACCCCCAAGGGGGATGACCATGCCGCAATCCCTTACCTTCCATTCTACTCCTTTGGGCATGCATGCACACACATGCAGCCAGCTTCAGAACTCAAACCATGGTCGGTCTGTGGGAGTTCAGAACCTTAACAGCATACCACCTACTGAATCCCATAATATATATATTTTAATCATAAGTTACTAAAGAATTTTGTTTTGTGATTTCATTTACCACTGGGAAACACAGTTTTCCATGTCATAAATGGCCTTCAAATGCTTCCTATTACTTTACTGGGTGTGTAGGAGTGTGTGTATGTGCATTTGTGCTCGTGTGTTACTTTTTATCTCTTAGACATAAGTTTTAAAACCATTTCCTTGGCACGGACTTAGAAGTTACCATGCATTGCTAAAGATTAAAGCATTGTCATAAAATCCATTCAGACCTCTGATAACCATTTAAATTATGTGTTTCTACACTTTTCCTTTTTTTTTTTTTTTTTTTGAGGTTTATGCCATAGGGAGCATGCACTCGCAGGAGAGAGACAGAGAGAGGAAAAGTGAGAGATCACTCTCGGGGGATTGCCGCACCGCAATCCCTTCTTCTCCTCTAGCCCCCTCTTGGAATTTTGGGCATGTGCACACATATGACAGGCTTGATTTTCAAGCCAAGTAGTCCTGGACTTAAACTGCAGTCAGGCATGCGGGAGTCCAGCACCCCAATCACCCTGCCACCTGCTGGTCCCTTTGTACTCTTTTCAATAGTTTTGTATTTACATTTATACACAACAATTTATTTATATTAAAACTGCATGTTTGTACATTTTAGTTTCCCTAAGAAAACTGTACTGCTGATTTCTGAGCAGTTTGACAATAGTATATAAAAATTTCATGTCATTTTTAGTAAATAGTATGAAAAATGTTTCTTATTGCCCTGTTTATATAATTTTTTTTCTTTTTTTTTTTTAGAGGTTTTTGCTATAGGGCGCATGCGTTCGCCAGAAAGACAGAGAGAGACAGAGAGACAGAAAGCGAAAAATCACCCCCCGAGGGGATGGCCAAGCCGCAATCCCTTCTCCTCCATTCTCCTCTCGGGATCTTGGGCACACACGCACACGTGTCAGGCGTGAGTTTAAGCCACCGGGTCCGGCACTCAAACCACAGTCGACTACATGGGAGTTCAGCGACATAGCCACTATGCTAACTGCTGGTCCCACCCTGTTTATAGATTTTATTAATAGCATATATAAAAAACACTACATGTTATACACATACATATGCATATTTGTTTCACCTCAATTTTAATTTGACCCATACTTGGAATCATTTTATACAAAGTCTTCTGTAACATCTAATATGGAAATGGGTGCTTCTATATCAATATATAGTTTTTCCAGCTGAAAATTTCTTTACACTTCATTCTAGAAAGAGGTTTTTCTTCCAAATAACACCTGTTTATGAACACTTCATTCTAGAAAGAGGTTTTTCTTCCATATTACACCTGTTTTTGGCCACCTGTTCATATTCTGGGAAATTATAAAGCCAAAAATAAATGGAACTTCAATGAAAACAAGAAATAACTTTTAAAATGCCTTTGCCATACATTCTCAAGTATATATTTTTAACCAAATATCCCAATTACCATGCACCCCAAGTGTTTCCTCACTGATATAGTTTGAGAGTTTTTCAAACACCATTAACTATTCTTTGGAATATGGAATATTTTTCATGTTATCTCTCAGTTTTTGTATTTCTTAGAATTGAGCATACCTGTTTACAAAACTGGACAGGTCAGCCATGTATAATAAAATGCAATGAGATCACAAGGAGACCAGGCTTTTTTCAAACCCAGTGTCTTGAATCCTCCTCTTTTCTGTGATCAGTTAAGAGTTATAAATGTATTAGGTCTCAAATGGTCAAATCAAATTTTCACCAATTTCACCAATTTCTTCTACACATATCTTCACATTACAAATACATTACTAGCTCCTTGAAAAATCTCTTGAGATTACACGATCTCTCAAGAACAAATGGCGGGGGAGACCAGCAGTTAGCATAATGGCTATGTCGCTGGACTCCCACGTAGTCGACCACAGTTCAAGTCCTGGACCTGGTGGTTTAAACTCACGCCGGGCGCGTGTACGTGCGTGCCCAAGATCCTGAGAGGAGAATGGAAGAGAAGGGATTACGGCATGGCCAGCCCCCCTGGGGGGTGATTTCTTGCTTTCTCTCTCTCTGTCTGTCTCTGTCTTTCTGGCAAGCGCACGCACCCTATAGCAGGAACCTCTCAAAAACAAAACAAAACAAAACAAAAAAAAGAACAAATGGGGGGGGCTAGCAGATGGCATGGTGGTTAGGGCACTGGACTCCCACATGGCCAACTGTGGTCTTGGACCTGGAGGCTTGCTTTCTCATTTTTCATTTCTTTCTCCTTTCTCTCTCTCTCTCTGTCAAGTTAAGAATAATAATAAACAAAATAATTGATAAAAAAAGAAAAGAACAAATGGAAATACTTTATACCAAATCCTACTTTCCCAAGAGAACCATTATCAGCAGAGTGATGGGTATATTGATTTAAATATTTAAAAACTGATATGCAACGCTTCACAAGAACTGATGTTATTTACCTTAATAGATTTGGTATACATCTCATTAATATACTCACTATAATCCTAAGCACAATGCTAAACACACATAAACACAGAGAAATATTTCCAATTTTTCTTTCAAATATTCTAGTCACTGTACATTGAGTTTGGTGTCATGAATTCTTATTCAACACTGGACAATGAGAACTTGCCAACAGCATTAACTATTCATGAGGAACCTGAGAGTTTTTTATGATTAAGTCTCATAGCATTCTTTCATTGCTGCCCAAATTGTAATAACATACATCTGGGAAACAATCAGTAAATAGAACAAATAAATAGCAGAAAAGAAATTATATATACATATATTTCTTTATTAAAAAAAATTTTCCAGTGTGTATGCACGCTCTCCAAAGAGAGGGTGGAGGGAGTGAGAAAACACCCTTTCTATGGGGTGTGATCAAGCCAATAATCCCTTCTTTGTTCTTCCCTTTGAAATTTTGGGCATGCATTGTATGTTTTCTGACATGATTTTTAAGGCACCAGGTCTGGTATACAAACCGCACAGTCAGCCACATGGGATCCAGCCATCATAAATACCAGGCCACATGCTGGCTCAAGAAATATTTTTAAGTTGAGATGCTCGATAAACATGGGACCAGCAGTTGGCATAATGGCTATGTCATTGGACTTCCATGTTGTTGACTGTGGTCCAAGTCCCGGATCCGGTGACTTGAACTCGCCAGGTGTGTGTGCATGCGTGCCCAAGATCCCGAGAAGAGAATGGAGGAGAAGGATTGTGGTGTGGCCATTCCTCCTTGGGGGTGATTTCTCGCTTTCTCTCCCTCTCTCTTTCTGGTGAGCGCATGTACCCTATAGCAAAAACCTCTCCAAAAAATAAATAAATAAAAAGATGCTGAATAAACATTCCACTAATAGTTGATCTGTTGTACTCTGTTCTTTTATACTTATTATATAGTTGTACATCGTGGGTACATGTATACAGGTTGTCAAGAGTTTCTTGATATGGATTTTACTTACATGATATATGTGGAATATCCTTGTAGTTTGAGTTGCTTCCTTCTATCATAGATTTTTCAGGTCTCATATCAAACAAATCTTTTCATATTAAGGATGCTTCAGAAAGTGGATTTTCTGTTAAGCAGAATTTGTAAATACCATTTTGTTTGCATACACATTAAGAGCAAAGCTTTTAAATGTTGCATGTATGAAAAGTATTCCATTTTTCAAATAAAAATACATCTTATAACATGTTCTTTTCTCAATTACATATTGGGATGATGCTTTTAATTATTTTTAAAATTTTCAGTTGTAGATATTTCTAGTTTCAACATTTCAAGATTTCAGACAAGTATAACTTGAATACAAACCACTGGAAACATAACTCCAAAATGGTTGTAAGCTTTCTAAATTTTTTTTCTGTGCTTACGTGCTTCTTTGGATCTATACATTTATGTGTTCAACCTGATTTAATTATGTATGTAATAAGTAACAAGCAAAGAAATGTACTAAGTAGAGAACGACTTTTTTCATTTTGTTTTCCTTGTATTAGGCAACTAGAACAGTTTAATTTGGAAGTTCTGACATTTTGATTTTGCCCTAAATTAAAGATGTAGACATCTTACCTGCTAAGGACTTAAAGAGTAGATTTCAATCTTTTCAAAGGCTTAAAAAAAAAACTACCTGCTATAGCTGAACTTGCTGTAACTAAACCTGGAAAATGGATTCATTGCCTCTCCCCACAGCCATCCTTGCAAAAGAAACTTCAGTGATCCTCTTTGGCCCCACCTCTCTACTTTCCCATGAGAGTGGAACTGTGTGGTCACTTTCAAGAGACAAAGCCTCTAGACAAAAAGTATGCATTCATGAAAAGTTAACAGAGGTTGGTCAACTGATCTTTAAAGAGGTGACCCAATAAACAATGCTCACCTGGGAGGATCTTATCCAATTCTTTTTTTTAAGACTTATTTATTTATTGGGACCAGCAGTTAGCGTAATGGCTATGTTGCTGGACTCCCATGCAGTCGACAGCGGTTCGTGTCCCGGACCCGGTGGCTTAAAACTGACGCTGGGCGCGTGTGCATGCGTGCCCAAGATCCCGAGAGGAGAATGGAGGAGAAGGGATTGCAGTGTGGCCATCCCCCCTGGGGGAGGTGATTTCTTGCTTTCTGTCTCTCTGTCTCTCTGGTGAGCAAACGTACCCTATAGCAAAAACCTCTCCAAAACAAAACCAAAAAAGAAAGAAAGAAAAAGACTTAATTATTTATTTAATTCCATTTGTTATTATTTTTAAAATTGGGCCAGAGAGGGACAGAGAGAGTGAGAAACAGAAAGTGAGAAAGCAAGCTGCCAGGTCCAGGACTCAAACTGCCTTGGTCAGCCATGTGGGAATCCAGCACCTTTAACCATAACACCACCTACTGGCCCCTGCTCTTATCCAATTCTACCAATGATTACACAAACTGGGTAATATCACTGGCTTTATTTTCAGTGGCTTGCTCAGGGTTATGATGAGAGAAGGGCATTCTGGGAGAGCTTGTTGAATTACTTTGGTATTAGTACAGTACCTTGGGAATAGTGCAGAACTTTGGTACTCGTGAATTTGCAGCCCTTTACTAATAGAAATAGGTGGCTCTCACTTTTGCCATCTTTTCTGCTGGGTGGTTTTCCTTTTAACCTTTCATTTTAAAACAGCTATAGATCTGAGATGAGTATCAATGATTGAACAGTAGTTAAGAATTGGTAATAGTTACAATCTGTTATTGGTCATGGTGTCTTTCTTGAATTCCTGGGAGCAGCTTCAGGCTTCTATCCACTCTTTGTCCAAATGCAGTCTCTTAATGTAAATCAAAATGTGTGTGAATATGAAATTCTTGAGCTTGAGGAATTCCAGAACTAAGATTACCTCTCTGCCAAATTCAGATATGGTGCACAATCTTCACACATCTGACTTCCCTATTCTTCATATGGACAAATCAAACTATTACTTCAAAGCAGGCAGGTTAACTCATTTGATACAGGGTTTCTCTCTGTCACCTGCCTAGATGAGGTAGCTCGAAGAGGTCAGAGGTCACCTTATACCTGCATAGAGTAATTGAGATCATTGAACACATTCGAGAACAACTAGGCATGGGTATCAGGAGAGTCAATTTCCTCAGGGACCTCATACTCCTTACTAGCAGCTCACTAGTAGATATTATAGTTTGACCTTAGGTAATCAGAGTTCAGGTGGTAATCATACAATTACAGTGATGCACCAGAATAATATTCCTTCATTTTAGAAAGCACACCTGAACTGTTATTAGATGTCACCTGGAAGATTTCCCCATCATACTCTAATACTGCCAACTCCTTGTGCCAGCCCAACTTCCTCATTTTCCAAGGGACAAGGCCAGAAGAGAAATGCCCAGAAGTTTCCCCAAACAGGATCAGAATGATTCAAGCCTCACTCTCATTTGTTGGACATCTGGGCCCCAGTACTTCTTATCCTTAACCTGACTGGCAGCTACTCACTTAAGCCTGGCACCTCCTCTAACCTCAACTCATCAGCTTTTCCCCAGGATCCTGCTTTTGTCCAGGTAGACTTCAGATGTAAATGAGGCCTGCTGAGAACCAAGCTCCACTCTACCTCACTAAATACCCTTACTTTCTCAACTGCTAGGCCTTGCAGGAATCCTTGCTAATACTGTACTTCCTCTTGATGGCTGCATTACTCTGGAAAAGCTGATAAGTCCTGCCCGCCCCACCCCCCAGGCTCTTCTACTCTGGCCCATTCATTCTGAAAAAAAAAAAAGCCACCTGAAAAAAAAATAAAAACAAAAAGCAAGGAGCCACTAAGAGACAAAGGAGCCAGGAAATGAAAGCTCCTTGCTATTTTATGTGCCTTGTTTGTGGGAAGTTTGCTCATTAGGATACACTTTTTGCTCCAGGTTTCGCTCTGAAATCAAACTGAGCCCTGGCTTCATTAGCCATATTTTGTTTTCAAGAACTCCATTTCCATTCTACTAATGCTTCCTAGGTCTGCTCTTCTTTTCATTCAGCCTTGGTCATCAGCATTTTCCCATACTTCAATAGGCAATTCTTAGTGATCCAGGGCTAAGAAAGTGAAAAAAAAAAAATGGAAATAAGAGCCTAGAGAAAAGCAAATTTAGGAACCAGGTCACATGGCTTGTCTCATTGTCAGGTCCCCTGGAAGTCTTCCATTTTCCATTAGGCCTTATAAGTGTTTAGTTGTGAGCATCCATGACTGGAACCCTAAGAGGGTTCAGGTAGCTATTAAGTCTGAATTCCAAACAATGTCCCCCTTAAGGTGACACATATACTTTAATTTATATAAGTTCCAATCATAATGGACATGGTTTCATCATTTAACATTGGAACACAAACAAATTCCCATGCATCTCACATGACCTTTAATGATTTCTTAATGACTATTATGTATGTGTGTGCCATTGATTTGAGTCCCAGGGATCAGTCTTACAGTGCTCTCTTATAAATTAACTATGAGGGGCTGGCAGGTGGCATGCTGTTTAAGGTGCTGGACTCTCACATGGCCGACCATGGTTCTAGTATGGGACCTGGCGACTTGATTATTCACTTCCTGTTTCTCTCTCTCTGGTCAAATTAAATAATAATTATAAATTAAATTAAATAAATAATTATTTTTAAAAAGTAAATTAACTATGGTATGGAGCTTGCAAATAACAGAAAATAACCATGTGCTGATCAAGAGAAAAAGTGCTGTCATAAAATCTGGTATTAAGCATCATAACCTCTTGCATATTTATTTCCATTCTTTCAATACCCATAAAAGTTCTACATTTATGGTAATATACTACAGTAAATTTACATTTAAGTTGGATTTATAAGTGTATTGTATATCCAAATTCTTTACTTCTGATGAGTGGATAATTGCAATTATCATGAAATATTTGTAAGATCTAGATTTTAGACACATTTGCAACGAGCGTCTTGATTAATCCATTCATTAAATAGTTTCTTGATTTTAAAAAAGTTTATACACAGGACATAGAAAATCTCTAATGCCACCATTTAATAATCTTAATTTTAAGACCTGTCTTGCCTAATCATTACTATGCTGACATTATTACACACACAAATTCTCTCTTCTTCTCTCTCTCAAACTAAATAGTAATTCTCTCTCAAATTAACATAGAAAGAGGCACAAAATGCTTATGCCTCATAACATTATGCTTTCTTCTTCTATATTTTTCAAAATTATACCAAATTTTAATCTTAAAATTGTCTTTAAAAACTGTAAGGAAACAAAACAAAATTCAGTAAGCGAAGGTTGAAATTGGTTATCTCTGAAATTCAGACACTCAGATGACTTTTTGGCAGATACAGTCACATCCTTTACATACAGCTATAATCTTTCATTAATGTCTCCTAAATAAATATAAATACAATATAGACATAAATTTGTTGACTGAAAATTTCAAGTTGGAACACATTGATTACAACTGTAAGTAGGCCATTTCTTAAAATGTTTACATATATAGAGATGGATCTACCTAATATATATGTGGTATAACAATATTTACTAGGGACTTCAGAAAATTTATGGAAAAATGGAATTAAAATATAAATTTACTTTGGTGCAAAAATTTTTTTGAAATCCATCACATGCATTTTCTGTGAATGTTTTTGCCGGACCTCCCTTTTTCTTTGCCTCTCTTTAAACATAATTGGACACATTCTGAGAGTACTTCTACAGTCTTCAACACTGCCTAATAATCTTTGCATACCGAATATCGATGTACATTTTTTTAGTGCTTGAAAATGTTTTCATATTTTACTCTAGAAGACCATTCTACTCCAAGAAATTACAATACCCATTGCTAGCAAAAAACTCTAATTTTTAGAAATTATTAAGTAGAAAACAAATGGTACCTTAACACAGTTAAGCAAGAAAAATGTGCTTGCTATGCATTCTTATACCCTCACTTTCAACACGTAATATGTACTTTGAGAAAATAATGTTCAAATTCCCTTGTACTTTGAATGTTAAAACAAGACTTCTTCCTTTGTAGGTTGAATGCTCTTTAAATAATCATTAAATATTCTTTGGAATACTGATATATTTTTAAATTTTACCAGCTGTTTTTGCATTTCTAGAAACAATCATGCTTCTTTACAATGTACCTGCTATGTATGAAGAAGTGAAGCGAGGTCACACGTAATGCCACCTCCGGTAGACAAAGACTTAAAATGTGGGTTCATCTTCAATCCTCTTCATTTGTTTTTGGTCCTCATCTGTTTGTGCGCAGTGTGTCTTCCTAGAAGTGCTAACCCTTCTTGGCTTGGATGGGTGGTTCCACTTCTCTTCAAGGCCTTACTACCTCCAAGCAATTTAGTTTTACCTGAGACCACTATCAAGCAAATGGAGTCCTGGTATTGTTCTCTCCTCTGCACTCTGACTCTGCTACCAAAAAGGGCCCAGGCCCAGAGCATGGGAACACCACGTGACAGCCTCCCTCATGCTCTAAGGGGTACAGAAAGAGAATTATAGCCTCAGGCCCAGTACTTTCTCTGCTGGTGGCTTCCTATAGTCCCGCCCACATTGGGAGGGTACCAAGACTCCACCCCACAACTTCCTGTGCTTGGACTTCCTGGCAGCTGCAGACTTTTGTCTTGCCTTCCTTCCCATGGGTAAGGTCCAACGCCCGGACTCCACGTCGAGAGCTCCACGTAGGCCTCAGGAAGAGGAATTGAAATCCAGCTCAGGACCGGGGCCCACTCACCCTCTCAATTTCTCAAACGGAGTGGACCATTTCAAACGTTTTAGGGAGAAAGGTCTGGGGCTTTTCCTAGAGAGCTCCTCATGATGGCAGTGTTGCTCCGGTAATTGCAGTTAACACTGCCGCCAAGCGCTCTTCTCCCGCCCATCCGGTGTGAAAAAAATGTGCTCAAGAGACAAAGGCGTCAGGAAATATGGCTGCCTTTCTTCTTGCTTAGTTAGAAGAAAGGCTCACACAGTATTGTGATTTTGCTTTGGGTTTCTTTTATCTCAAATAAAACTAGAGCCTTAACCTACACTTTCATCAAGGTCTTTCCAGTTCAAAAACCCGATTTTCACGTACCTAGTCTTCATCGTTCTGCTTTATCTTCAGTGTTTACTTCTAGTACCAAATTGCCTTTTAATATCAGGGGGAAACCTCAGGCATCCAGGCCTAGAAGGGAAAAAAAATGGTCACAATTAATAACTTGGAAAAGAGGAAATTTAGTCACCAGTATATGTAGTTCTTAACCTGGCTTACTTTCCATATTCCCGGGAGTCTTACCACACTTTTTTGCTTGGGCATTAGGCTTGTGTATTGACAGAGAAGCTATTTCTTTAGAACCCTAAGATGAGTATCTAGATAGTTCTTGAGACTATATGCTCTTCAGTGCCCATTTAAAATAACATAAAAATTAAAATACGGGCATATTTCAGTCAATGGAGACTTCTTTAGTATCATAGTTTCATCATTTAAGATTGGAACACAGATATATTCTCCTATCATAATTTATGATTGTTCATTGCATTCTATTTCTTTATTGTTTATATATATCACTTAAGGATTAGTCTTACAGTGTTTTCTCATAGATAGCTAAGACATGATTGCAAAGGATTAAGGAAAATAACCATGTGTTGATCAAGATTAAAGCACTGTCAAAAACAGTACCTGAAAGTACCACTGATAAACATTTGGATTATGTTTCAACATACACATACAAAATTAATTTTAATATACTCATGCTTTCATTTCAATAAACATGCACAAACATCTATATTTAGCTTTATATACAATAATAAGTTGACATTAAAATGAGACGTATTTATGCTTCATGGTTTGGATCATGTTTTCACTTTGTTTCCTGGGTAGTTTGTCATTTTTATAAGAAATTTGCAAGACCAAAAGTTTTAGTAAATGAAACATTGGTAAAGCAATTTTTATCTTAATTGCTTCAAGCAAATATTAGCTTCTAATAATTTTAACGTGTTTTTGAGATATGGGATATAGAAAAATCTATTTGCAAATTAAAAAGTCAAGATTAATAAAATACCAAAACCTGGTAAGAATGTTAAACTTCCTTTCAGTTTTATTTTGTTTTATTCTTCCAAAATTAACTTAAGCATCATTTCTTTTTACACTTTTAAAATTTACATTTAATTTCTGTACGTCTTTACAGTATACATGTTTTCCCAGCATAAATGTAGTGCATATTAGTCAAGTCAAAGATATTACCATATGCATTATCATCAACAGATATTTTTTCATTTTTTTGTGTCTGTTAAAATGTTTTAGTTTTTTTTCCCTAATCCCCTTTCCCTCATACC